AAGTCGGGCCGCCATCCCGCCTCCACACACAAACACGCACACGCAGACGCACACACGCAGACGCACACACGAACAGGCTGCGAGGTAACGGCAGACAGGCGCGTGACTCATTAGGCATTCGTCCCGCGGGGAGATCGCTGGGGGGGCGCGTGCGAGGGAGAGGGAGCGCCGCAGCTGCAGGAATGTCACGGCCGGCTACCGCTGTGTGTGTGCGCGTGTGTGGTGTGTAGCAGGCCTATTTGTGTATGTATGTGCACACTAATGCTGTTGGAGCCAGCGGCAGGGCACTGCACCTTTCAGGAAATAACGCGGAGAGGAAGAAAAAACAGCCCTATTAGTCCTGTTTTCCACCCAGAGCTCATTTAAAAGTCTGAAGTAAATTTAGCCAGAAAATAGCTTTGCAATTTGCGTTATTTTAAACTACTTTCTAAGACACAAAGAAATGCGATATTAACTACTGTTTTCACTTAAAATTGCAAATTGTTCTGTAGTTTTCATTTAAATCTGGGGTAACCAACTTTCAGTCCACAAAATTGTACTAGTTCCTGGTGTTAAAACAGTTTGGTTCTATCCCTGCATCTTTGGCCTCTATCACATCTTTGAATCAGTTTTTTCAGACAGAAAAGTTAAGAGGATCACTCTCATTCATCTTGAAGCCTAAAGACTCACAGAGCTCTCTCTTACATGTATGCAAAAGATAACTATGTTTTATAATAAGTTGAAGACAGCGTTTGTTAATATTGTTACTTAACAAAACTACATGTCTTATGTAATAATTATAAAAGTTATGTACCCCAGCTTTAAATGAAGTACCTCTGAGAATACAACTGAAACATATACAAATTAGGGCTTCACAATTCTGGCAAAATTTGTACTTGCCATTTTTCTAACAAACATTTGGATTTTTTGATATTTATGTTTAGAAAATGTTTACACTGCATATTTTAAACAGCTTCAAAGACTGAAAAACATGAACATTAGCTCAGACAAGATAAGCTAATTCCACCTCCAGGCCTCTCTGTGTGGAGTTTGCATGTCACCGTGTCTGCTCCCGTTCCCTCCGGGTGCTCCGGTTTCCTCCGGGTTCACCGGGTTCCTTTGGTTTCCCCTACCACTAACAACATGTACAATAGGTCTAGCATGTGCCTCCTGTATGGCGACCCCGCTCCCATCTGTCTGTGTTAAGTGAGAGACAAAAATCCCCTTTGCAAAGGACTTATGGTCTTTGCCATTTGCTAATTGTCACCACTAAAATTGCTAATTTGATTTGATTGCGATTCAATTGCTGCTCTAAGACAAATCCTATGACACAGGCATACAGTGATTACATTAAAGACTTTCCATTGTAATGAAAGTGATCTGGCTTTTTTCTTAATACCGTAGGGGAGAAATTAAGAGCAAGAGGTACAGCAATATAATGTGTTGGCTTTACAATAGCATCCTTATGAACCACCATGCATACACTTTCAACACTTTCATGGACAATATGCATAAAAACACAGCAGTGTAGGCCGATATATTCAGAAGGCACTTCCAACAGACTTTTATGAGTGGCTTTTTCCATGGCTGAGCAGACCCTGGCCACACACAGTAACCCGTGAATGTTCAGGTGACCTTCCTCTCAGCGCTACTCCTCGGGTTGCCAGTGGTGCGCTTGGTCTGGTGTTTTTTTGTCTGACACAGCCCTCCCTCGCGCAAAGGAAGTGTTGCCGGAAGCAGTGGGAGCTCACCCCCGGTTCTGCGTCAGTACCACCAGAGAAAAGCATGGGGGCTTTCCGGGGGAGAGTCTCAAAGGGGGAGCAGGGGGAGATAGCGGGGAGAGCTGGCTATGGTTCAGCCACGTGGGTGGTTGTCCTCGAGCCTAGACAGTCACTGTGACCACTGTTCTGACTAAATTGTATCGTGCAGTCTGATGTCAGAGTGTAGTCCCAGCTTTGGAGAGGATTTCTGTAAACGATGGGGTGCCTGACTATTTTATGAATGAACGAACAGTTGGACAAGTTGAGATGGGCATTTTCCTTCTGCACATGCAAAGCTCATGTCATCATAGCTTTTTATAGCAAACGTGTACTATATTCAAGTTTGCCTGCTAAAGAATATGAAATGCTCTTGTTATCTTGTCGAACCTAATGCAATTTATTCATGTTGTCTGTTGAGGATATTGTGACATGAAATTGGCAAAAACTCTCTGACTGTATCTAACCCTACTCAATTTAATAGAAAACTTAGAATTATTGGACATAGTTACAGGAAAATAATTGTTGCCAATGTTTTAATGTTCAGGTAACATATTAATTAATTTGACTTGATTTACATGTTGGTACACTAACAACATATTAATGGCCAAACCTTAGCATTACTTTGAATTTCTTATTATATCCTATTATAACTGCAGCGGTAGCTATACTGATCAGCATCTGGTGTACACAACTTGAAAGGAAAAAGAAGTAAAAAGTGTTTTTCTGGTGAGGTTTTAAAAGTGAATTGTGCCGAACTGTGGCCCGATCATCCTGAGGGATGTTTTCATCTTCTCTGTCTCCCCCCAAACTCTTTTTAAAGTCTGCCATTTGAAAGACTCCAGAGGGGCTGCACCTGTTTGCCTCTTGGCTAGGAGCCCCCAAATCCCTCCTCCTGCCCCCGCCTGCCACTCAGGCTGCTGCGCCTCTCGGGGACGGGGGGAGGGGGGACGGAGCTGCGCGTGTGGAGGCATAGCTGCAGGGCTCAGAGGCGTTCGGGAATAAGAACCAGGATGTGGGCAAGAGAGTGAGAGACTTTAAACCCTAGTCCAGTGTCCCACATCGGGCTGAGCTGCCTTTGTGTAGCTTCTCATGTCTGGACTCTGCACAGTCTCTTTCATTTTTACATTTCTCTCACCTTCTGCAAAAACAAGTCCCCTCTGCTCACTTCCTTCTGTAGCCCAGAGTTTGCAGACTTTCTCCTTCCTCTTTCCTGTGTTCCTCTCATCTCTTTTCCTGCTGCAGTCTCCACCGTGCTGGACTTCACTGACTGGCTTGTCCTTAGCAGGGCAGGCCATTGTAAAGGTCATCACTTCATTCACTCACAATCAAATGCAAGAATATTTGCTAAAGATGTACAGTATATCAATTTCAGTGGCCACAGTTCACAAATCATCTGATAAGAATCAGTAAATTCTGTTTCTCCCACCAGAAAGTGTGAGAAACTAAAAGCTGACTATTATCAGAAAATATAACTGGCAAGGAACTATTAGTGGTGCCCTGCTCACATTAGGAATCACAAACACCAGTATTTGATCTGTTTGATTCCTCCTGGAACTATGGATGAACCAATCCAGCTTTCTGCTGATGCCAGTTATGAAGCGATACCAGCGAACAGACTGCAAACTTAAATTTTAACAGTCATATCAAATCAGTAACATCAGCAGCATTTTACCATCTGAAAAACATTGCCAAAATTAGAAACATAGTGTCTAAATCAGATCTGGAGATTCTCATCCATGTATTTGTCTCCAGTAGGTTAGACTACTGCAATGGCCTGCTCACAGGTCTGTCCAAACAGGCTGTAAAACAACTGCAGTATGTCCAAAATGCTGCAGCTCGAGTCCTGACCAGGACCAGGAAATATGACCGCATTAGTCCAGTTCTCAGGTCTCTGCACTGGCTTCCTGTGGCTCAGAGAATAGACTTCAAAGCAGCACTGCTTGTGTACAAGTCTCTCCATGGCCTCGCACCAGGGTACTTAAGCGACTTGTTAGTCCCATATGAACCGACCCGGACTCTGAGGAGCACAGGAGGTAGCCTCTTACTGGTTCCAAGAGTCAGAACTAAACATGGGGAGGCAGCGTTTGAGATTTATGGAGCTAAAATCTGGAACAATCTTCCTGAAGATGTGAGGCTAGCATCTACTCTGGCAATTTTTAAATCAGGGCTAAAAACTGTTCTTTTTAGCTGTGCATACGGCTGAAGGATTTTATTGATACATACTCTTTTTTTTTTTAATGCATTGTGGTTATTTATTATTTTAATCCCGTGTGTGCTTTTAATATTTTAAGTTTTTTTTTTTTTTTTTTTTTCCATTATTTGTGATTTTATTCTGTTTTTAATGTATTTATTGATGTCTCTGATTTGTGTGATATTATGTGGGTTGTGAGGCGCTTTGAGTGGCCTTGTGTTGGAAAGGCGCCATACAAATAAAGTTGATTGATTGATTGATTGAAACCCCTTTAAGTCACAGCAAACTTTTTATTGGGTCTTATTTGATTTTGAATTTTTCCAGCAAGTAACGACAGAACAACATTGTATGGGTAAAACTATGAGAAGTTATTATATCATTTAAAAGACCCAATCCGGACATGCTTAACCGATATTGTCAAACCAATACCTGATCCAACAACATTTCCAATGTCTATATCCAATACCGGTATCTAATTGTGGAATCCCTTTATGGAACTATAGACTGCAAAAAACTGCTCAATGCTAACCTACTAGCTTGATGAAACCTAATAGGGAAGTGCTCATAGGCAACGTTTTGCTCCTACTTGCTTTGGCTCCATTCACTTGCATTGAAACATAAAGGTCTGTGTGTGGAGCATTTGTGCCAATGCTTTAATATCTCAATTGTGGCGTTACATAAAAACCTACATATTTCTCTTTTTACTCATGATTATTATTCCTAATTCTTTATATGAATGACATTTATTAATGTTTCATTATTGCGTCAGCAGCCAGGCCACTTTCTCTACACTCTAGTTAGCACTATGTCATCAACATGAGCAACATGAAAGGCCTTGTATCTCACACAGAAAGCAAACTCATGTTTAGAATATTTCATTTTTGGGTCCTCATATGTGCATCAGCAAATATTAACTATTAATTATTAACTATTAACTTTGATCTGATGTTGGGGGGATTTTCAATATTTTGTCAGGGTGCTTGAGGTCTTTATTGTCCGATATACATTCTGTTTACATACAAGACTAATACCCTGTGATTAACCAGGTAACATGCCCTTTTTATGTGCAGAACCGGGGGCGTCTAGCGGAAAAGCGCACCATCCCTCTGCCGCCAAACCGGGTGCCAAAGAAGGAGCTAGGATCTATCTTCAGCAGTGATGACAGTGAAGGCAGCGAGCGGGCCAGCGGAGACCATGCCCACATCAAACAGGAGGACGAGCTGCATTTTAGTATCATGAGGAAAAGGTGAGACACAACCCCAACACTGTTTTGTGCTATGTCTCGATGATCGTGTGGGCGTATAATTCACATGTATGTTGTGAAATGTCACCCTAGTCTTTGACTTGTCACTTCTGCTGAGGACTTTTGTACGTTCTCTTTTGTTTGCTTCGCTTCCTGTTTAAGAGTGAGCCTTGAGCTAATGATTGAAATGGGTTGGAATAATTTGAGGTGTTAAAAAATTGTTTGAGATGTACAGGCAGAGAAGCCTGTTTTAAAAATACACTTGCAGCTTTTTTGCACTGATAGAAGATGTGCACTGGATTTGCAAAGTGTTAATTGGTTTGTTGTTTGTGTTTGTTATGTCTGTTGCCAAGAATCACTACATCTACTCACTTCTGCCGGAAGGCCTGCATACACAAAGTACGCGCTCAAATAAAAGAAAATTCCAACTAAACTTGATTTTTATGTATGAAGCCCAATAGCATTTTTATGTATAGATCATAAATGATGATGGACTAATTGTCACCACTGGATCGTTGGCATATTTTGTGAAACTTAGTTGCATATTAATAGGAGTATCTTTGGCGTGGTGGTTTTAGTGTGTATCAAATCATATTCTACATATATCTATCTCATTAAGGCATGGACTGGTGTTTTTAATTGACATTTGTTTCAGGCAATAATAAGGGTGCTGTTGGTCTGTGAGATTCAGATACTAATGCTGTTCATTGATTAAGCCCTGTGTTTCCGTCGGCATCATAAGCAGCCTTTAGCCTCATTACCGAATATGTTTTTTATTTTTGAGACAAGCGTGTGACACATGGACGGCGTGGCAACGGCGAGTCTTTAAATGGATCCACTAACCTTGTTTAAGAGGGCTTCCCCTCCCCCTGACACTTGTGCCGCTGGCGTGTTAAGATGATAATGAATTTAAAGAACACTTATGACTAATATGTCAGGCTTTTACCCTTTGAGAGGCGACGGACTCGCTAGAGCCGTAGCCCCAGTCTGTCCCGGGCTTCAGCCTCTATGTGAGTCTGGAGGAGCCGGGTAATGGGATGTCCAATCACAGAAATGTGATTTCCATTGACCGCAGCTTCGTAAGTGAGTCGTAGAAGGGTCTTAACAAATTGAATTTGGCCAATGGATGTGAAAAATACAGAGGCTGTGTATACATGTGTGTGGGTGTGCTGATCACCCTCACATCATCAGCCACTGGGCCTGATCACTGTCATCTGTCACTCAGGCCACGAGTACCACAGCCCATTCTCAGGACAGCACTATACTTACTTTACTTACATGTATCGTTTCACGTCCAAGGACCACATTTTAACATTTGATTCTCATCTAAGGCTTACGAAAGAATGATAACGTGCGCTAAGAAATCATGAAACTTTGAATTTGGTGTTTTTTGTGACTCAATATTTTACTCAGATTTATGGATTTCATCTCAGGTACCAAATATTTGATGCTAATTCAGGATTTAGTCCCTTACTCCGGGAAAAAGCCCACTTTGGTTTCAGATAACAAGTGTATTATTGAAAGGTGCTGAGTCAGTCTCTGGACAATTTTTACACTGCCTCTTTTCTCTTTGGGTCTTGAAAACATAACTTTGCAAAAACCTTACCTTTTGTAAAACACAGTGAGATACCACTGAAATCTTGATGAAATCATCATTGTACACTGTACAGTACTAAACATAGTGAGAATGCTGTCAATAGTCAAAACACAAGAGTGGTCTTGGCCCCTGACGTTGTTTGACTTTAGGTCCTGTGACTTTATTGAACGCTGCGTCATTGGCTGATGCCTGTAAAGGTCGTGGACACTGACATTACTGGAAAAGCCTTGCCCTAAGGCACTAATTAGTCAAGCGGATAGTTTTATAGTTTACTGGAGGACTTTTCACTTCTAGACTGTGTGGCCTTGTTTACACCGGGTTCCCATGACAACACAATTCCACCATTTATATTTTTTAAGCAAACTTTTGCTTTCCAAGTGTAATATCGACATAAGATATATCACACACTTAGTACTGTACTGCAAGAGACTGTGTGTCACTATTTATCTGATCTTAGTGCAAACAACACCAAGTACACACTTTCATCAAACTGTTGTGGCCAGATTTGTTTTGCTGTATTGTTTTCCAGCATATACACAAGTAAAGGAAGCAAGTCTGGTCTGCAAAAACCTCTATATATATAAAGAATACTCACTTATTACATGGTTGTTAATATTTGGCCTCGTTAGTTGCAACGCCATTTGTTAAACTCATGTAATGTTTCCACTGAGACTCTTGTGGAGTGGTCGTTGGTAACCAAAACATTGAACATCCATGTTTTTCTTAGTTTGTGATGTTTGTCCCAATTTAAGTGTCCTCTTTTTATAGCTTTTATCAGAAATGTTGCCAGAACTGGACCTGATACCACCTTCTGTTGAAGTTGCTGGCTATGGCTCACAATCTGCCAGTGTTCCCCGGTGCTGCTGCGGGCCACATGTGCCGGCTGGAGTGGGCTTCAATGGTCGTGGCTGGAGGAGGGAACAGCATAAGGCCTTTAAGCACCAGATGTTGCAGCTCTTGTGATAGGTCTGGGTCTGTCTCCTTGCGCACTCCTCCTGTTTGTGCCTCAGTGTGAGAGACGTGGCAACTGGAGCCGCCACTTTGTGCCAGCTCATGCAAACACCTCAGCCTCTAGTGCCAATGTTTCAGCAGGGCACCAAAGGGATATTACTCACACGCTACGACCAGCCAGGGCCATAGTGAAAGCATGGTCTGTCAACACATGCTAAGAATAAAACGCCAACAAATCAGGTACAAAAAATAGGCTCTTTCAGATGTCTTTCGTTTGCCTTAATTCATATTTTATTGTTAGTGGGATGGTTAAAAAAATAACAAAACAATAACAAGTGATGTGAACATTTTGCTTTTTTAGAATAAAGTAGTATACAAATTGAGTTTAATTGCTGGCCATCGTCATTATTTGATAATGTACACCAGGTTAAAAATACTGGATTCAAAATGGTCAAACAATTTCATATTAAAATCCTCTGCCTGATGAAAGGAATTCTCAATCTGAAGAAGGAGGGTTAACACCGGTTCAACTCCTTTTAGATCATAGTTGCGGCTTCAAATTTACAAAATTCAAAAATATGATATTACGATTAAATATCAGACAGAAAACAATTTTGGGGATTTTTCTGGATGTTTAATAGAACTGAATTAAATATCACGTCTCTGCAAACTTGACGCATACTTTTGGACCTCCTACGTGTTTCCAGCGACATTTGGTTCTCTCTATTGACATTTCTACTGTGTGATAGAGCCTATTTCCTAGGTAGAATCTTCTGATGTCTGGTTTTCACTTGACTTGCATGTGACACACCACCTTCAAAAAGTAGGAGAACCCTTATGAGATATGATTGATATCATGAATTGATATGGCTGAATAGCTCACCCTCCAGTGATCTCTCTATTATTGGTTGTATCCATGACCCGTTGTGTATCTTATAGCGCATTAGCCGGGCTCTATCCAGGTCAGTGTCTGAATGTGCGCAGGGGGCTGTATTGACCGCTGCGGGCCGAGCGCAGGATGAGATGAGGGTGACGGGTGTGCACCTGAACGATAAGACCGGCTCATGTCCTTCTTAGCGCTCAAAGCCTCCCAGACATTTTCCCCACGGCGCCGTCCTTCCCGCTCTAACCCCCGCCTTAGCATCTCCTCGGGGAGCGCTGACTCAGGTGACTGGGTTTTAGACACCCGCCCTCGCCCCCTCCATCGTCAGGCCTATAATGTGACCTTGCCTTTGCCTCCTAAAGATAGCACAGAGGTACAGAGGGAGGGGGCAGAGGTGGGGGCCAGCGGGACCAAGCCCTCATTAGCTGGAGCCCAGGCGGGACAGCTCAGGAAAAGTGCGTCTAATTACCCCACTAACTATGTCCTTGCAGCTTAAAGCGGCCTCTATGTTATTGGATAATAACCCCACGAGTACTGATAGAGGAATGGCTGGGGAATCATGTAGTCTGCAGGGCTTGTGGTTTCAACAATCGGCCTACCTTTTCCAACCAATTTACTGCAAACATTTTGGTTTGGTATGAAGATCTTTTGTTTTTTTGCCAACATTTTTTGTGTCTTTTAAAGATGACATCTACATAGTTGGACACATTTCTTAAGGTCATGCCTGGACCAGAAAAATCTCTAGAATCTGTTGTATTTGGTGAAAGTTTTGGTGATTCATACAGGTATCTTCTTTACATGGTCACATACATGTACTGTTAAAGTATGTTATTTTATTCTCTCTTCTCATTACCCACTTTCAGTTGTATTTTGAGTAATTTGTGCTGTTGTGACAATCGTGACACTTTATTCCTTACCATTTCTCTCCTCCTTGAATGAGTGCATCTCTGACTGAAAGGTGACTGGGAGCTGCGTTAATCCCTCTGCTCTCCCCTCCATCTCCTCTGTGGCGTGTGGAAAACAGCCTGGCGACCGGCAGCCTGACATTACAGCAGCAGCCTGTAATCATGGGGCTGTAAAAACCCAAATCCAGCAGCCACAAACCGCGTGTCCCGTCACAGCGGCGAAGCTCACAACCACTCAGCGCCCCTGTCCCGTAAACTCCACAGGGACAGTCATAACCAGACCCCCTGCGGAGATCACACTGCTGCAGAGAGAGGACACACGCCAATGGAAAGACTTGGTGTCAACCTCAGACTCACACTTTGAACATTTAACAATATGTGATGTTAAGTGGTGTCAATAGTATCAATACCCACATAGTATTTACAGCAAAATCTGAAAAAAGGCACACATTTAAACCATATACTTTAAGAATCATCTTAATCTCTCTTAAAACTAGTACTATTATATTATATGAGGAAAACCATTAGAAACAAAACAAAAACATTAGATCTGCTTATTCAGGACCAGCCCTCATTCAGACAATCAGCAAAAGAGAAAATGTTCATTCATATTTTAAAGAAAGCATTTTGGCTTAAAGAAGACTCTTTCTGTGGGGACAAACCCAAAAAGTTTGGGACTCCAACTTTAATGAAAAGTCATGTGCTTTAATTATCACTCATAGCATTTGATGTGTTTTTTTTTGTGTACTATCAACATTACTTCCACAGATTTTCAATTATTTTGCTGTTTAGCCCGACCACTTTACACTTAACACGTCCATCATATGGCTGTTTAATAAAGATCTATTAACGATCTAACATTTATACGTCTGTAATGGAATGTTTATGAAGATATAACTGAACTGTGTATGAGATGCACAGATGACTTCCCCTCTGCTCCTCCTTCTTACATACAGTAAATGTCGTCCTCTCATTCATTTGGCTGTCAATGTCAAATCCAAATCCACCATTTTCTCCCAACGGTGTTCCACTGTGGATCCACTGTCACAACAAGTAGTAAATATAAGTTGAACTGAAGCCATATACTTTCAGATCGGTCCATGCTGCTTTTGGACACGTCCAAAACTACCTCTGTTTGTTGTCCTGCCATAAACAAAGAAATTAACCGAGGTTATGCCTTAATGAAGTTAAAGCTGGAAACTTTAACTTAATCGAGGCAGTTAAAGTTAACCTTTAGCTGAGTATTCTACATTTATTTGAAATTTCAAATAAATGACATTTCAAATAAAATTGACTCAACAGTTTGGTTGTCTTTACATGGGTGTATTTTTGGCCTCTATCATCTCTATCTCTATCATATCTTTAGATCAGTTTTTTTAGGGCAAAAGGTATATATTTTTCTAATAAGATTCATCTGATTTGTTCATGTACTTTTACAAGACCCTCTGTTGGGACAAATTAAAAATGTATTTAAAAAGTTAGATACCATCCTTCACACCATCTGCTCTGTCTGGTGCACACTGGGGTACTCTGGCACAGGTATTCCAATGTGGTTTTACTAAACTGAATCTGACTCTGATCTCCTTCTAAGCTTCATATTACATTACAGTTTGTGTTGATCTGTTCTGGCTTTATTTAGCTCATTCAATTTAATTCTAACACTTTTCTATTTTTGCTGTTAGATGTCATTTTGTGCGTAGACCTTCACATTGATTTTATTCATTCTAGATCTGACTGCAGACTGACAGGACACACAGGAGTCAGCTTCTCTGTTGTTTTCTCAAGTGGCAAGAGCTTGGGTGTGTACCATCCTGGTGCACACTGGGGTAGTCTTGCACAGTTATTCCAATGTGGTTTTACTGCAAATGACAAATAAACTGAATCTGAATGTCACCACTTCTGACCAGCCGCATATTAATTTAGCAAAATTTTACTTCAGATTTCGCTTTCTGTTGCAATGATCTGTTTGTGATATTTGAGGTTAACTTGATCCTAGTGATATGCACAGCAGAATCTATTTCCACTCTGCATATGTTTGTCGGAACTTTCTTTAACATTCTTTCCATATACAAATCTTCACCATTGATAAGAGGTTTGTGTGACTCCACTCAAGTAATAAAACCAGCAATGTGTTTTAGAATGAAAAAGGTTGACCAAAGTGGTCAGTAGTCGTGTTCCTTTAACAGAATTGCGAGCTACAATAGTCGCAGACGTAAAGAGTATTTAAGCTGCTAAAGACCTTATGAGTTTGAATATCTCGTGGGTAATACAGCTTAATATGGATAATGAGACGCGATGAGACCCAAAAGTGCTGGATGGAGAGTCTGTCAAAGTGCATTAACCAACACAGCAATGATCAGAGGATGTAAAATACCTGAATGTAATATTATATGAGAGATTAAATGTTGAGGCTAATGATTTTTTGTTCTTTGGTTTACAGTCGGGAGAGTGACCTCTCCTCAATCATCTCCAACCTGCACCATACGAGACAACATGGCATCTCCGAGAGCCAGTCTGAACGCAGCAGCAGCGGGCAAACAGGTGGGACCCACTCAGGCAAACTTGGACACTTTATTTGTTTTATTTGTTCATGAAGATATACGATTACTATATTTGTCTGCTCCCAAGAGTCTTCTTCCTCCTAATATTCTTTGTCACGTCCAATCTGTCTTCTTATTTCAAACCCTCACCTTTTTCTTCCACATAACTCATGTAATTATCCCATTATCTATCTAATGCACTCTAATTTGTGTGATTGGGAGAATTTAACATAAGCTTATTAGTCATTCCTGATGGTGGCTCTCAACTTGATTACTTAATGTTCTTCCCGCATTTCCTGCTGCACTCCAGGATTTTTTGCTAAAGCCCCTATTTTAAATTACCTCTGAATAAATAGCTTTGTTTGCCATTAATCCATTTGGTTGTGAGCAGAAGAAACCGACGTGTGTGCTAAGCTAAGAGCCTTTCTCTGGCTTACAGACACAACACAGACAGAGTTTAATCACAGCCATTTGTCAAGTAACTCGTATGACGATATTGTGCAGTGATAAAGGATACGTGCTTGCGACCCTAGCATTGGGAAAACCAATGCAAGGTGTAGTGTACCTTTGTCTTATTTGCATAGTCAATGTTTGGTCATATAAGTCCATCCTAACCACTGTGTATTTTAGCAAAAAACAAACTTTTACTGTCTAACCTCCTGGGCATTTGTTCTATTGTGTACTTTTCAGAAACAAATTCACAAACGAAAAATTCACTGCCATCACCTAATTTTTTGACTCATTCTAGCGTTAAACTGGTCTACTGCAGCCCACTTTGCCCCGACATGACCCCTCCTTTTATCCCATTAGCTGATGGCACAGCAAGTGGCATCGTGAGACCAGACCCAACACCTCAGCAGCCCCTCTCTGTGCGTCTCCGGACAGATTAAGTGTCCATACGGTCAGACTGGGCGTGGGTGCAGGGTAATACCATGAAGTATAATAAGATGTCGTTATACAGGTTCTAATGGCATATCAGGGGCGATCAGTTCAACAAAGGGCAAGACTGTGCTCAATTGTGAAGTGCCAAGTAAAGGCACAGTACCCATCAGTGGTTTCTTACAGCAGACTTCGGTATTTTGTGTTACAAAAACCCAAGTCGTGATTAACGTTGCAATCGATGTCTGTCCATTTCAAATCAATGGCTTGTGCTCATTGGCGTATGCTCGCATAATGGGAATATGAGCCCAAAGTGAGTCATTTCGGCCACCTCTGGTCCTCCCGGTCTTGCTCTGCAGGTGTACCATATGTAGTTTCTGCAGGCTGAGGCAAAAGTGAGAATTCTGACCAATCAGTGCTGACTGTGGAGAGAAGCCGTGCTGGTGAATAGCTGGCCGTTAGTGTTTAGACAGAGACAACAACAACCAAACTGCGCATGTGCGGATGAAAGCGGACGAGCCGAGTTTTTCGCACATATTTGAGGATTGCTTGAAAACTGATAGATTTCAAAATAATAACAAGAGACACTAAAATCCCCACTATACCTCACCTTTGAGAAAGCTGTAGTTTCCATGAAAGCTGAGGACGAGTCATTTTTGCTAACATTGAGGTCTATCGGGACATTTCCTCAGTAGTGCAGGTGGTCCACCACCATGCTGGAAACTGGCTTAAGCTAGCAATAGCTATCCAGATAATATATCATCCATGGTTGAAATGCAGTGGACCAATTCATCTTTAAGAAAAAGGCAAGACAAGAACATGTCCAAATAAAGGGTCAAGACAAACGTTTACAAACATATTTTCTGCCAGAATAACTTTATAAAGAAAAGGGCGACACATGCAAAAGCATCTCGCTGGCATTCTACCTAAAAGCGTTTGTTTGAGAATTAGAGGTAGATTTAAAAGGCTGTATTAGCTGCTCTCCTGGTGTCTGTAAACAAGTGTCAATCCAATCAGCTCTAAGTCTGTCAGTGAAGCACATAGGGGCTCATATTATACATATAGAGAGTGTCGCCGGGATGTCACCAAAGATTAGGTTACCCGATCTCATCTTCTACCATAGAAGTTCCAGTTATGACAAGATTTTTTGGTTTATTGATAATTAATCTTTTTATCATAAGAATAATAAAAGAAAATGCAACTAATATTTTTAGTCATGACACCCATTAAGTGACAGAACAGTTTGATAACATTAGAGTTTGGAAGTCAAGCTCCTCTGTCAATATGAATTATGTGTGGTGTGTCACTATGGCAGCCGCTACTCAGCGTGTGTGCATGTTTGTGAGTTTGTGTGGGTGTGCGCATGTTTGTGAGTGTGTGTGCATGTGTGTGTGCTTGCGTGTGTGTGCTCATGCTGTTTGTGTGTGGGTCAGGAGGAGAAAGCAGCGCTAGGTCCTCTGTGCCGGAGTGGGTCGTTAATTAAATCTGAGAGAAATACAGGCAGTCTGCCTCCTCTCCTCTCTTGCTCTCGCTCTCCCCCAGTCAGGGGTAAGGCGTGTGTAGAGGGGGACGGGCGCCTGGCTGCCTGTGGAGACTGTAAACTGTGGCTCTGCGGTCAGACCGGAGACTCAAACAGGCAGATAAGGTGTTTTTAGCCCGCTCTCTCTTGCTCCTGCTCAGACTCCCAGAGGCGTGTGTGCGTGTGTGGAGCTTGCACATTTGCGTGTGTCCGTTGGTGTGTGCGTTGGTGCGTGTGTGCGTTGGTGTGTGCGTTGGTGCGTTGGTGCGCCCTTAAATAAATGGTTCAAGCGGAGATCGCGTGAGTGTAGCCCAGTGTGTTTGTGCAAGGCACACATGATGATTAGTTTTCACCAAGCACTTATTACACCATTAGCATAAAAGGCAAAGTCAAATGGATGAGAATTGTGATCATATTGGTATGCATGTAGTAGTCTATGGCAGTGGATTCAACGCAAAACAAGCATGAAATAAAAAACAACTTTAAAAAAACATACTGGTTAAAGAACATGACATAGACCATTTTGTGATGGGAAAGGGCTTGCATAGTATTTTTAATCAAACAAAGGCATTATGTGTTGAAGAAATTATCATTCAGCATCAGCTTGATTCCCTGGCAACAGTAACTAACAGGACGGGTGCACCGATACCACCTTTTTTCAAAACCGATATGAGTACCTTGATTTGAGTACTTGCCGATACTGAATACCAATACGAGTACTGCATTGTTATTCCTCAGAATTCATAAAACTAATAATACAACTAAAATTTTAAATGTTTTATTTCTTATTTCAACAATAAGAGCCACTGTCATATTTGACTCATATAAATACAAATATACAAATATATACTAGTACATATAAATATCTCCTGTGCTAGCAAAGGTGTCATACTCCGCCTAGTGGTGAGTTTTCAGATGTTTGATCAAGTTGTTGTTTTGGACCCACGTCGTGATAGCTTTGCCTTATACAGCGTACAGTCCACTTTACTCTTGCCACTCGTTTACTTTAAAACACTGCCATACGGCCAAGATCCTGTTTGCTTGCTGCTAAGCTAAGCTAGGCTAAGCTAGCGGCAAACTCTTTCTCGCCGTCTGCTGACGTGACCATAGACTGTAAGTATAAACGGACGTAGTCATGCCTATCCCCGCCGTTCAAACCAATGTGCCTGCTCACAGGTCTGTCCAAACAGGCTGTAAAACAGCTGCAGTACATTCAAAATGCAGCAGCTCGAGTCCTGACTAGAACCAGGAAGTACGACCACATTAGTCCAGTTCTCAGGTCTCTGCACTGGCTTCCTGTGGCTCAGAGAATAGACTTTAAAACAGCTCTGCTTGTGTACAAGTCTCTCCATAGCCTCGCACCAAAATATATTAGTGTCATGTTAGTCCCATATGAACCAGCCCGGACTCTGAGGAGCACAGGGACTGGACTCCTGTTAGTGCCCAGAGTCAGAACTAAACATGGGGAGGCTGCTTTTCAGATTCATGCTGCTAAAATCTGGAACAGTCTTCCTGAAGATGTGAGACAGGCCTCCTCTCTGACAATGTTTAAAACCAGGTTAAAGACAGTTCTGTTTAACTGTGCATACAACTGAGGGATTTTATATTTCTATCTTTCTTTTTAATGTTCTGTGATAATTTATGATTTTAATGCTTTCTTGTTTTGTTCAGCACTTTGAATTGCCTTGTGTATGAATTGTGCTATATAAATAAACTTGCCTTGCCTTGCCTTGCCTTGCCATCACTTTTGGCTTCTGTGGGCAGTTTCAAAAGGGCCATGGGGGCTGGAAAATGTGAAGAAAAAAACGCATTTGCGCATGCGTTAGCCGGCACAAGCCCCATTCATTTGATGAGCGCCTTCAAAATTCCACAACGACTAAACTAGACTGGTCCAAAAAATACACTCCCCTCAGCATTGACACGGATCTGGAACTTAGCGTTGAGCCGACTTTTGGACCATCCTGTAAAGCCGTTTTTGAGAGATAAGAAGATGCTATACATTATCATTGAACAATTCTTGGCTAACCCCAGGCCACATCATTTTGGACATTTTTGAGCCGGGACCCATGTCGTGACGCTAATGTAAATTAAATATGTGGGTAGCGGTTGTTCGCATCGGGTCCTATGGTATGTACGAGTACAAGCCTATGGTATTGACCTGATACCAGTATCGGTATCGGTGCATCCCTAAAAGTAAACAAGAGTGGATCAGAAATGGTATTGCATAATAATATACTGTATACAAATGAGTTTTGAGTTAGTCTGCCATCTGACAAACATGATGAAAACATAACTTCTTTGACAGAGATAATAAACTTGATATACTTAATAATAGTCCTGATGACAGTTTGGATACTCAGTGATGAAAAATGGCCTTTATTGGACATTGAGCTGTGATTTTGAACACAAAATAATTGTATTAAAAAGAAAGGCACTTGTAGACCGCAGACCTCCGCACAATTCCATTCCCATATCCTACATCCAGACGGTGATCACCAAAATGTCATCATTTGTGTAGAATCTGACCTTTGTTCGTCCCATTTCAGAATCAGAATCAGATCAGAATCATTTTTATTGCCAACGTAAGTAACAGGAGGTCACAG